AGGGTTTTTTTAAAACCAAAGGGACATTGCGAAATGTTGGCTAAAATTTAATGAGCTAGGATATCTACTGTGTATATAGGGATCCTTGCGATTAATTTCAGGGGATTAGTGTTGGACTTAAAAGAGTAAGAGTCAGTGTTGGGGTAAGGGGAATTGTTTGAGGAATGACAACAAAAGACTGAGTGCTCACGGGAAGACGTCGAAGAGGAGCGGAAGACGGTGCCGGTTGCGCTTAAATCGTCTGCAATGGCGGCGGGAGGAGGAGGAGAGTGTGAAATGGAGATAGAGGAGGGGCATGATAGAGAGCCTAAAGATGGAGAGAGAGAGAGAGGATGGAGAGAAATAGGTAACCTGGAGAGTTTGATGCGGACGGAGATGAAGCGACCTTGTATTCCAACAAATGCCTGTCCGCACGCCTGGCTCTCGTGTCCAGACTGTGTCAAAGCTCCAGTCAAGGTCAAGGACGTGTCTGGCCAACTGTCCTAACAATTGTCAAGGCCAGTTCACAAAGGACCTTATTGCCGATGACTGACCATGCGTAGACACTCCCGGACGCGGCGACCTGACCACCGGATTGCGACCTCGAACAGAACAACCTTCACGGCTAGACTGCACTTTTTCGGGTGTCAACTATATATTACCCATGTTACACTCCTTTGACACTTAATTATACTATTCCTAACACTCTGGCCTTCCATGCCTTATGTTATCTACTAGCTTATGACCGTTGGGATACGTTCATCATCTGTCATCTGGCCGGACCACATCGTATCCCACATTTTTGACCCCGACGCTTTTATATTCCACAGAGGCTTGAAGGAGGGAGGTAGTGAAGATGCTGAGGAGGTAGCAAGGAAATGGCGAGGAGTAGGGAAGTGAGAAACAGTGAGTTTTTTAAACGGATTATACTCTATGATTCAAGGGCTGGTGAGCAGATAGATCAGGCAAGGGCGGATTTCAATGATACACACTACTGGACACTTGGAAAACGCCGTGTTCAGACGATATTCTGCCGCTGTTTGGTAAACGAAGTTTGGCTTATTAGCACATTATGTTGTAGCATGCAACCTCATTCTGTACTACTGACTGCACTGCATGCTTACATCGTAATGAACATTACAGGCTTATGCCGCATCGGCTGGTAGACTTCTAGCGGGGGGTATAGACCGTAGAACAAGCCAACCTTCTCCAAATTAGCGAGTAATTCCTAGGGAAATAAAAAAGCAACAAAGTTGCCTTTCGTGATTTCATGCCACTTTATGTTTCAGATAACGGTCTTTTTCCAACTCGAAAGCAGGTCTCTGCTCAGAATATCCTGCTACTTACTTTGCGTGACTGATGGCGCAGAAATTTAATTTAATTACGGCCTCCATCGTACGGCTCGACATTCCTAGAAGACCGTTTGCTCCTCCACACTTTTTATTTTTCTTGTTTAATGTTTCTTCAAAAGGCAATAAAGTACACCTGTGGAGAAGTAGAGGACGCGAACAGGGAAATAATATTATGTGCTTTTTTTTCCAGCAGAACATGGTTCTAAATGCCCATTGCCCATATTACAGGGGACTATGTGTGTTAAATCCCAATGCGGTTAGAGCTTTAGCTGGTGTTATTGTTAATGTTTGGATACGGAAGCTTACGGTTAGGGGTGTCACTTTCAAGTCAGGTTGTGACGGGTTTTCATTATGACCATTGTTGGCGCTAGGGCTGAATAATTATCGTACCGGAAGGCAAACTATGGCCACCGCTATTACGGGGCCTATTAATAACCACGTGCAGGCGAATTTTTTTACTTCTTCATCTATTATGTGCGTATTTATCCGTTTTTTACCACTGAGCAGGACAGTTGCCGAACACAACGAGCTGAAGCTTATCAGATAGTTCTTCAGAACAGTCGTAAATGAGAATCGAATGCAATGAAGGAAGCGCGTTTGAGAACATAGTCAAAAGAAAGTTATGCCGGTGTATGTCGTAGATGAACAGGAATTCCTGAGTGTGCTAAATCCCTCGCACCACTCGGATCAGCATCGTCTAAATAGACCTGACTTCATAATCTTTCGGCAAGTAATGCAGCCATCAATAAAAACAGCTATCAATAACAACAACTAATTATCCGAAGAGCAATTGGCGAGCCTACGTATACTTTCAATAGATTCCCATCAGGCCATTATATTTATATGGGAGGGGGGGTTAAAGTGTAAAAGGTAAATGACCTCCAAAGTTACAAGCAAATTATTGCAGGAAGTGGGGGAGGGGGTTGGGGTTGGGGTAGTAACAGCCGGCTAATTAAGCGGCAATTAGGGAGAGGGGGAATGGAGAGACGAGGCTCGGAAAAATGCCGGTAGCTAGGCGGCCGTTAGCCACGCTAAGTTTGGGGCTTGCAGCAGATTCTTTTGCGCACACAAAACCGACTTCATCGACCTGATAGCGGTTGCTTCTGCTGTTGCAAGCAGTCGTTGACCCAGTGACCTTAGGTTGTTTGGTGGGACCCTATAGATCACACTGAGTCGGCGCCTATCCAAAAGAATAAAGGAAAACCTCCCGCAATAGCTAAGGAAAGGTGAAGTCAGTACCCCCATAACCATAAACAGCTCCATTCTAGCGCACATGGTGTATTCCGGACATCAGGTGGACTCCAACGAAGCCTTCAGGCTGATCAAACTACCCCCGGGACTTTCGGTCATTCATCATATTCCCGATCACAACCGACAAAGCAAGGGACCCATGGACTA